TTTGCCATCATCTACGTCTATTGTTACCCATATGAGTGCATTTTACTGGCTGTCTCCTAGATCTCAAAATGTTTAATACATTTTCCTTTCCATTGTATTGCAGCTAAAATATGACCTGCCACTGTTTAAATAATGTAATTTAATGATTCCACATTTTCAGCGTTGCAAGGGTTCCTTTCAGCACTCAAGCCTTACGCTAATGATTTGGGGGGATAGTTTGTTCTTATTTCTTTCAGAACTCAAGTCCAAGAAACTCAGACTTGGAAATAAATTATTGACATCCCCTTTAGGAACAGTAAAATGTGTAGTGGAAATAAACCACATAAGGTTTCAGTGCCATGAGACTAGAATCTCCAACGTGTTGATTTCTGTCAAGGTTCAAGTGTCATTCAAGCTCCAATTCAGTGGAGATATCTAAAACACTGTTGTGCCATTGCTATGTGATGTTATATATTCGGGCCAACACTTTGCAGAGAGACTCCCAAATTGTTATTCATGGTGTGTGAGTGGCCAGCAGTGAGCTGGTAGGAAACACCGTTTCTTCTCATTTCAAACATGTACACTATACTAAAAGGATAGCTAAAATACATGAACTTTTTAGCTAAAACTGCTTCACTGTCATGGAAAAGTGAACGAAACAAGAGGACAGCCTTTAGTGACTCCTCAGCACTGGAATACCATCCCATTTGTTAGTGATTTCAACATGAAATAATGGGGTTAAATATTATACTAAGAAAACAAGACAGAAAAAACTCAGCCCCCCCAAAAGGTATCTTTCTGTTCAGACATACATAAATATTACATTGAGACATAAAAATCAGATGAACTTAAGGAGAGAACGTCTTTCTGTGAACATCAGCTCCCAGGCATTACTGAATGCGCTGAGATTAAGCAACTACTAGTTCCTTGGAGAGACTCCTGAGAAGGGTAACTAAAATTTAAAAAAAGGCCCCTCAAAACCTTAAGAAATCTGACCTGGCCAAGGAAATGCAGAAACTGAAACTGTTCAGCCCTGAGAAACATTTTCCAAAGATGGAAGGTTGAAGATTGATGAACACCAGTTTGGACAGTAAGGAAAGCTGGCAGATTGTTTTCTGCATTAAGTCAATAAGGACAGGCCAAGAAACAGTGCACAAAAAGCAATAGACAGGCAACACATTGTCTCGTAGGGTGTCTGCCTCATTTTTTCACTTCTCACAACCTCACCATTGCTAGTGTGACATCTCCAAAATTTTTGCTGGTTAGGAAAGCAGGCCTGTGTTCCAGCTGTAATTCTAAGACATGGTGAGGGGAAAACAGGTGTGTAAATTTCTTGGGACAAGAGCTCTTAGATTGTTTTTAAACTTATATTTTCAGAGCTTTTAGTGGATTGCAGTAAAAGGTTATAGTTGTTGATTTTATTGTTTTCTTCAAAGAACTGTTGGTGGAAAGGCAAAGTTCTGTAGGTGAATCTGTGTTGTGTTCAGGGATGCCTGTTTACTCTAAAGCAGATGGCTCTATCCTGACACCAGCCCTCTGGCATCTCAGTGGATCGCATTCTTTGCATATTCTTTGTGCATACGAAATTTGCTTAATAGGAGCCAGTGAAAACACATTTTTGAGAATTTCACAGCAAGAATTTACACATTCACCTTCTTTCCTTCTGTTCACGCACATTTGACTTATTTGCTCAGGGAACAGATATGGTACAGCAGTGTGTATGGCAAGTGACATAGTGTAATGAACAGAAAATAATCATGTATAGATCAAGAGAAGCAGTTTTGAAAGAAGCTTAGCCTAAACCTCTTTTCACTTGCAGCAACAAAATTCCTGTTGACTTGGTGGTGGATCAGGACCATGTAACAACCGAACAATTTAACACAAATACATTTGGAAAAAATTCCCTGTGTTTATAAGTAACTGACAACTGAAGAATAGGTAATTTCACTTAAGTTCTACTGTGTGAGTAATTTCCATATCATTAACAACTCCTTTTTACCAATGTCTTGAATTTTTAAAGAAACTCTTGTTTTCTCATTTTAAATACTTAACATAGCTACTCTATGATTCCTATCACTGAATGGTCTTTCCTCTTTCCACAAGCAAGGGTTTTCATTGTTTTATCCAGTCACCCTGAGGTCTCATACTTATCACCCCGAACCAGACCTGAAAGTTCCCCAAAAGAAAATCAGTTGATCGTATATGTGGATCACACAAAATGCAGTGGGATTACTCCCTTGACCAATGTTTAGTATGAATTCAAGTATTGTGTTAGATCAGAACTTTTCTGAATTCATACATTCTTCCAAAGTCCTCAGGGTGTCTTTTGAGTTACCTAGCTGGGGTAGTTTGTGATCAAGAGGTTTAGAAGTTTACTGAGGAGAGAATAAAAAGAAGATGGGAGAAGACCTAGCTCATGTGAGCTGTGGACATCTATGCTTGACTCCACTGGAAATTCAGGGACAGCAGACGTGACAACCACAGGAGTAATAAGACAGGCTAGAGAACAGCATGAAAACAGGTCCCCCCAGTCATCTAGGTTGACTGTGCCACAGTGAGGTTTCAGAGAGATGGAAGTTGATGAATATGGTTCGGTTTTTCCCAAAGGGCAGGAATTACCAAAACAGCGTTGAAGTGTGGGCTTCTATGAGTCTACCTATGAAAGTGCTGGTCACGAAACAGAACACACGTGCTTTGGTTAGCTTTCAAATAACGACAAACAACAGGGACCAGAAGTCGATTAGGTTCGATGGAACTGACAACACCACAGAGCTAAAGACGTTCTCTAGAAACACAGCACTCTCACCTGACTCCTACCTTCATTCACGCATGCATCATGCAGTCAGCTATATAAGAAGCAATGGAAGCTTACAACTGTGATTCAGGGCTCTTAAGAGCTATCTTGACCAAGTTATTTTGTTTCCTTGCATATCAGGTTCACTTCCAAATAATGAATGCAGTGGCACTTGCTTAGAGGACCAGGAGGGAAGAGTAGAGAAGAAAACAAACAGCAACGCAACTAAGTGGGTTCTGTTCCTTTCAGCTATTTTTATGGAAGATGTGATTGCATTCATAGACAGTGAACTGCACCTGATGATCCAGCAAGTCCCTATTGATGCCATGTTTCTATCTACCAGTAAAGATTATAGAGGAAACACTTTCATCTGGTAAGGTCATTGCTTGCAAAATTTATTTGGCAGCAAAGTTACACCTTTTAGCTAGCAATTAGACACCCGTGGATGGCTAAACTGAAGAGCAAAGGTTGCCTGGTTTAATCCCTATCCTCCAGCTTTGCAACACTGGGTGAATAAATGACGTGAAACTGCACAAACTTATGTTTATTTATAATACTACATACCCAGCAACTGTAACCTGGAGCACTCCAGAGCAGTAGGATACATTTTTATAATGCCTGTTTCTTCATTAAGATTTCATCATCCACCTACGCTAAAAAGCCACTTCCCCTTTATTTTGTTGTATCTGCTTTTACCCGCTCCTGTTCCCACATTATTTTTTTAATCTCCAGTTCCCTACTTTACATGCACTCTCAAATTTTAAACAAGCAAAATTTGTGCATTAGTGTGTCCTTTTCATCTATGATTTATGAATGACAGGTTCTTTGGTGCAGCTTAATGGTATGAGAGAGACATTATTTTAAACATTAAAGTGAAAACCATTTACAACTATGATAAGAGAGGTCTATTGACATTAAACTTTAAAACATGCACAAGGTAAAGGCAAGTAGCTGCTCCAACAGGTAAGAGTACTCTGCATACGGTTTGTAAGGGAGTTTGTACAACAGATGAGCTGTCTCTTCCTTTTCTCTGTTTCACAACCTGTAGGATTTGGCACTTCAAAAAATTTGTCTGGTTATCAGAATCCACCAGAGTTTAGTAACTAAAAAGTACTTGGGGTACAGTGCAGAGCAGAGCATTAATTTTAAAAAATGACCATTCTGTTCAAGGAAAACTTTTCCTACCATTTACATCAGCAAGAAATAAAAATAAATAAACTGAAAGAGTCAAAGCTTTATTTTTATACTTCCTGCTCACACCTTTAACACTTTCACAGTGGACAATCACTTCCTTACCATCCTCTTCCATTGAAGCTGTATAATTCTATTTTAAGATATTGGCTAACACTTATCTTGCTACACTTGGTTCAGTTCTGTTCAGCAGCAACTGCTTTCTGAGAAGCAATCAACATAATTAGGAGTAGTAAACAAATACATCTGTATTTTGTATCTTAGGTATTTGGATTGAGTACTGGTTCTAACAGTGTTAGACACACGGACTGAACAGCAGAGAGTATTAGGGAGGAACAGGGATCTTACAGAACTGCTTTTCAGTCTGATTTTAGACAACAGGGAGAATACAGCAGATATCTTAGGGTAGAACTGTTGCAGACATGGTACAGCTCAGGCAAAGGGAGGGTACATATAGAGATTAACTTTTTGTTTGTGGCTTTGGAGTCATGTAACTCCCTCAACAGCTTGGATGAGGATGGCAGAACCTTATTGATAAAGCAAACCTCCCAGAGCAAGAACAAGAACACATACTTGGGGCACTGATGGCAGCCGAGAAAACTGATTTTATAATAAAAGTTTTCTTTAAAAGTGATTTTCATGTGACACTGTGTTTTTATCTGCCCCTATTCATTCAGCTACCCTAATCAGTAGTGATGAAACAGAATACTGGTCTTCATGCTGCCATTTGAAATTTTAAAGTGAACTGTGAGTAGGGAACATCGACATCTGGTGACAGAAAAGCCTAATGAATCACACAAGCATTTTACCTTACTGACCCATAGAATCTATGACCCAACCTCCATTTTGTTTTTATAAAAATGCAAATATCCTTAAGTATCTCTCAAGTAATCAAAAACAATCCAAGTATTAATTTTCAATATGCATCAAGAGCAACATTTCATTGGAAAAAGAGATCACTCAGTTTAAAAGAGAGAGACAAAAGTGAAACAATCAGGTGAAAGAACCTGTTAGAAAAATTATAAACACGACTTACCTTGTAGATTTTGCAATGGCAAAGTCATGATGCCTCCTGCTGCAGCTGCTGCTACCAGCCCTTGGATGTTGGTGAGATTTGCTGTAGGTAGAGTTAGGACGAGTCCTTGTTGGCCCCCCAGCTGCCCAGCCATGTTGAAAGGAATAAGGATCGGCTGATTCAGGGCTGGAGTGCCTCCTGGCATCACCCCTGCTACTGCTGAGGCTAACTGTTGGGCTGTTAGTAATGGCTGTAACAAAACACAGACAGGAAGCTTATTCTACTGTGCATAGCTTGGTATTACACACTTACAACTCTTCTGGCTTGGGATCCTTTCGTGTTCCATTATAGACATACACTGCTTCCAATATCTTAAAGCATATTTCTTCACCACCATGGAAAGTTTTGACAAAGTTGACAGGCTGAAGCTGTAACCCTTATAGTCATGTAGCATGGTAGCAATCCCAGTTGAATCTAGACTGGAAAATTCACTACACAGGCACCTAAGATAATTTATGAACACAAGAAGTCTAACTCAAGTAAGCCTAAAAGGTATCTAAATGCCAACATTTCCCAAATTTTGCAGTTGTACTGATTTGTAGAAGTGGAAAACACTACAGTAACAACTACCAGAAGCTTTATGGACCAAGACCATCCTGGGAAGTGCATGAAGATTGAATATCTTCTTGAGAGTATTGCTGAACTTGGATAAAATTGTGAAGTGGTCTGGGAAATCTTTTAAATTGTTATACAGTGCCATACCATCGTGCCTACATTTTGATCTGAAAAAAATATATGCCTGGCATAAAAGATAATGAAATGCCTTTACTAATGCAGGAGCTATGTGTGACAGGCAGAACTGTCAGAGCCAATAAGGTTGCATTAAAATTGCACAAGGTTTTTAATGTTAAATTATGACATGTATTTAAAAAATAACCTATATAAGAAATTCAAATAATTTAACCACATAAATATGCAAAACTGCTTAAGTTTTATTTTAGAAAAACATACAAAAAGGTAATCATTCCAAACAAACGACTTAAAACATACACAATATGTACATGCTCCCTTCTTGTGACACTAAATGCAGCCGAACAGAATCACATTTTCTACATTACACAGATCAAAGATGATCAATCTCAGTTATTTACTTTTAATTGGATTGCACGTCTCAATTAGTCAAAAGGAAAGATACTGACCTGAGGCCCAACAGGGAATGCAGGATGGGACTGACTGTGTTGGTGCTGGTCTGCAGGGCTTGTGTCAGGCAGCACTGTGTTTCCTCTGGCCTCTGAAATCCAAAGAGCAAATTGACTTTAATATCAAGCCTAGGGACAGTCACATTACCTTCCACTCTGATGTCACATAACATCAAGCTGAAAATGATATGTTAAAGTGCTTTATCAATAACTCAAGCACTCAAATCACTTATCAGCTGCATAAATTATGCTAACATTCATTCAGACCAGCCAACTCATTCAACGAGCTACAAAATCTGACAGCAGCAAAACTGAAGCTATCATCAACCCAGCTAATGTGGGTTGCATTATACATCAATTTACATACAGTACATGAGCACTCTGTGAGTGTGGGAACTGCATTTTTTACGCTTAGGTGAGCATCAGCCATTCTAATTTCTGAAAGCAAAAATTATCTGAAAAACAATCAAGTCACATCTACATTGTATCTTAATATTTTCTTTTGTCAGTTACTGAGGCAGCAGAGGCTGTACTATGTGCAATAAAAAGGCACTCTGAAAACTGAAAACAGGTATGCTTCCAAATGACAGCTTGTTTTCTAGATTACATGTGGGGCGAGCAAAATTCTGTGAAACCAAGGATTTCCAGCATTTATTGAAATCATCAATATCCGACAATCAAACTATATGCTGGACACTAATGGCTTGCTAAGCACAGAACACAGTCCAGCCCCACTGGGTTTCACTGAAGTCTGCAATACAGATTTGAAAAGGAAAAAGAGAAAGAAAAACTTCCTAATCAGTTGTATGAAAGTACTAAGATGTTTTCAAAACTACGTCCCAATCCTCCATTTCCTCTGGGTTAAGGGCCCTCATTGATTCACAAAGTTTTTCAGCGCTGATGGCATGATCAGGCCCACATTTATCTTTGAAGCTGAAAGAATGACAGCAAGCATCAAAAGTAGCTGCGAGATTACTGTGGTTTCTTAAAAAGAAAACCCTGGCAACGGCGTTAGGTTTCCTGGTTGGTACGATAGCTCCTGTTCTGTTAGTTTTTTCTGATGAGAGGTTGAAATTCCATTCTAAGTAAACCTGAACAAGATGCTCTTTTCCAATGTTCGTCCTATGAATAGTAAGTGCAAGATAATTCAGAACCAGTTTTTTGGCACACCTTAGCACAGTAAAGAAAAAGGATACAATTCCGTCATACTTATAAATTTTAAAGAGGGTATTATCAGCTCATTTAAAACAAATTCTTCTATATATTCTCCAAGGGGACAGACTTATAAATAATGGAAATGTGAAAAAAAAACTTCAGCACATTAAGGTACAAATAAAATTGACTGCTACATATTATTCAATTGACTTCTATCTCTACAGCAAGGTGTCAATCATAACAGCATTTTAGAATAGGATTAAACAAAAAGTGTGCAGAGTTATTATGCAGAAATTTGAAAATCTGATTAATTTGTAATATTTCTGTGTGGTCTCAAAAAGTCAGAAATGGACATTGCTTTGGGAATACTTACAAACAGACTATCGAAATATCTCATTTGCAACTAATAAAAACGTACAGACTTGCTGATGTTTTATAAAGTGAATTCTATAAAAATGTTTGGCATTTTGATGACTGCTGTCATTTAATAATGAGAATAAGATGACTTACTATAATCAGTGAGGCCTCCAACAAATGCCTAATAACACGCAAAAAGAGACCTAGTCACTAAATTTTTTATGTGATATTTACTCATCCATGTTACTTGAAAAGAAAGAAATGTAACTAGATATGCAAGATTCAGTGAAAACTGTTTCTTTCAAATGCATTACAATCCTACAGCTGCTGCCATCCCTAAGACCAAAGATCACTTTTCTTCAGTGTGGGTTCCTCCTATACAAAACAAAGTACTGTGTTACTAAACACAATTTTGCCTTTGGTAATGCTCACATATTGTTGTGGGTTTTTTTTAATCTTCTCATCACAGCTGTATGTATAAAGGGATATTAGATCAAAGGCTCAATACCAATGAATATATCACTCCCCATCAAGATCAAATCTTATAAGTCAATTCTGTTTATGTAATTTTAAGGGCTGAGAATTTTGTCTTTGTGTGTGATTTAATTAATATTAAAACAAGTTCTGATAATCTAACACATCATTAAACTGTCCTATGAAAGCTTTGGGAGAAGAACAAAACTGAAGTTATATATTCACTAGAATTAGATTTTATTGCAAGTACTATAGCTTGAGCTCTCAGAAAATAAGAAGTTCTGAAGAAATAGTCCCGTGCTTTAGTATTTTTTCTCCATGGTGCAGCTATCTTAAGAACAACTGTTTTCTTTTATCTGCATGCTAAGGCTTTCACAGTATTTCATTTCACAAGCTGTAGGTAGTACAAGTGGGTTATACAGGATCATAAAGTCAAAATTAATTACACTCCTTTCCTTTTGCATGGCACTAATTGGAATCACTTACGATTACACTCTTTTCATACAGTCACTCATTGCAGATGATGTATGTTTTTATTTCAGTGCTTGAATGCTCTGCCTGCTGCTTCTAGCTCACTTTCCCGATGATGCAGACATCTCAGCAATACAGCACGCACTTTCACGTGCATGAACGTGGTCTTACATGGCACCCTACGTAAAATTATGCACGCCGTATTCTCAGACTGAAATTCTCATGTCTCCTCTCATGCCCCTTTCTAATCTACCTGCTATAACAGCCACTCAAGAGTCAAGATTTTTTTTCAAAACGTGCAGGAACATCTGCCTGCTGGGCTGGCAGTAAATACAGCGAAGCGAGGATTTCAGGGTTAAGTTCTGTGTTGCATCACACACAGTGACAGCATTTGTTCCTTACTGTATGCTATCTTCAGCGAGACGCACAGGTCAAAGCTCCCAGGAAGGCGAAGCAGAGCAGAACACACTGGTAGAAGGCTACTTTTCCTTTTCTGCTTTATAATGTTGACCGAGTAGATTCCTCCGGTGTCAGAGGATCTGACTTGGGAGAGCTCTGCATGACAGATACTATTTCTGATTCACAGGCTCGCTGCTACTAATGTGGAAAAGTACCTTCATTAAGACCATTGCCCTAAACTGGCAGCGCACAACTCCCTGCACTGTTTTTCCCCTCTGTTTTGACACCTTTACTTGGGAGTTCATTAGTTCCAGATGCTGGAATGTCCTTTGTAAGTAAATTATTCCCCTGTCCAAATTCCAGTCCTTACTGACAAAAACAGCCTGTCAAAATCTAGCCAAGCTTTTCCGCTTGTCCAGATCCAGGCTACGACCTCCCGTTAGGCTATCCTCCAACACTGCTCAGCTTTCTACCAGTGAGGGGTATGGCAGCAAGGAACCAGGACTCATAGCAGTCCCTATGGAGGTGGGGAGCTACCAGCAGCAGCTTCTCTGTTCTCAACCACGTTTTGGAGAGATTGTACTCTCATTACGCCTCTGTCTGCTGATGCACAAGGGGCAGAGAGAAGGCAGTAACAGGGCACCTACTCTGGAAAGAGAAGTAATTCTCCTTAACACTGTTTGCGTAGGCAGGGCTCATAACCGAGTGCTGCCATCGCAGCCCAAGTCAATGAGTTTGCTCGGTAGTACTGTATGAACAGACAGGAGTGCTACTGCCATGGTACAGCCATGACTGTAGACAAGGCTTTAATATTTAATAAGCAGTATTCATCATATGTGATTCATCATAAATTAATTATAAATTATATAATACATACACTCACCTCTTATCCCACCAAGGGTCTGGAAGGGCATGATACAATAAAAAACTGAAGTGCACTGTAAACACTGTAAAATAACCCTTTTAAAATAAAATATTATTTAAAATAAAGCTAAGTAAAACAAAAGCAACCTTCTTCTCCCTTTATCAAAAAGAAAAAAAAATATATCCCCCAAACTAAGTGAAAAACCTTGTTGAATAATACCTGGTTTAAAAAAGAGAAAAACACAAGAGAAACATCATAAGGAAAAAAAGTTCCACGTTCCGAGGCCTCCAAGCCTCATACAAAATTACAACTGTAAATGCAGTGGTTACAAACAGGCTTTCTACAGTTTCCTTCCTTTTTGTTTCTTACACATCTTCAGAAGCACCACAGGTAATTCAGTTTTAAATGTCTGTATTTCCCAGTACCCCATGAAGGAGGAAATGATCTAATCCCTACTTCACAAAGGAGCAACTAATGGACAGAGGGACGCTGATCCGGATTCTCAAATCAGCATTGTTTAGGCACCTAGATCTCCTCAGCTGTAGTCACACTGTTCAGGAAAGCATGGGTCAAAACACAAAACTGCTCTCTGACTCCTTGGCTGCTCCGGGGCTGCCAGCAGCTCTGGCAAGGTGAACCTGCCTGTGCTCCCCAGCACCTGTAGCTGGATGCACTGCCCATCCTAGCAGCCCTTGTCTCACACGATGCCCGATGCTTGCAGAGAACCTGCAACTGACTGTCAAATGCGACTATACTGAAGGGCATTACAGGGTATGTGAGGGAGTGTGACAAACACACACAGCCAGCTCTGTCCTGGACCTCCTGCTTCATCTGCAAATGTGTGCTTGTGCCTGCTCAAAGGCACGATGCACGCTGGCATCTCCTCTCAAACTCCACACCAAAGCTCACTCAAAGCCAATGCTCAAGCATATGACTAGCCTCAGCAGATAATCTGGACATAAATGACTTCCTCACAGTCTTCAAGAATTAATTCAATGTGTCTCACATTTGTATAAGAACCAGGGACATGCCGGGCCATCTCTCTCTATTACAGAATCCTTTGAAAAAGAAGCAGGATCAAATGTAATACTACCAGATTTTCAGTAATTAAATGAATGCGTTAAGTTGTTCTGAGATACTCATTTAAGCAAATATTTTAAATGAATCAACATTAATAAAAGAACACAGCACTTCAAGCAACAGTTCCTATTAAAATCCTTAGATACAGTTCCACAATGTGACATTAAATTACTTGTATTTATCTCTCAGTAACCGTAACAATAAGAAACCAAGAGCAGACTTTTTTCTTACTCATTGAGCCAACTCACATTAAAGATACAGCTTTAAGAATGAAATCATTAAAGTGAAAAT